GCACTCACATTTTCTCTCTCTGCACATATGCACAAAGAAACACTATTTCTTTTTTTTTTTTATTCTTTTTGGGCAACTGTCAACGCCCGCAAATTGTCATTGTCCTGCGGGACTTTGGCTCAGTTCCCATTGTTCGCCGTTTTCCACACATTTCCATCGCCCCACCCAACCAGTACCCCCCGCCCCCCTCTCCTTTCCCACTTGAACATTTACCATACATTTTCCAAACCAAAGCCCCCTGCGACCCCCTGTCATTTGTTGCAGCTTACGCTTAATGCACAAACCAGACAAATTTCCCCCCGCCTTTATCCTTTAGCCTTTCATTTGCATGGCCCCCATGCCATACGCACACACACACAAACACACACACACACAGCAGCAGCTATATATATATATATATGGGATATAGTATAGAAGGAGTTGCAAGGATCGGGCGAAAAGTGCAAACTGCCGTCTGACTATTACGCAGCATGTAGCGTATTTGTGCAAAATTAATTCTTTATCTGCTCGCCGCTCCTTTGTTGATTTTGTTGCCTTTCAGCTGGCAACGTGCCACCCACCGACTCTGCCATTTTCCCCCTGTCCTCGAAAACAATGGACCGACCAAAAGGAGAAAATAAGAAGCACACGAAGAAAGTTATTTAAAAAGAAAGAAAAACGCGAAAAAGAGAAGGGGGTAACATCTGTTGGCAGTAAAAAAAAGAGACCCCCCCCATGAACAGTCAACTTTATGAGGATTTCCGAAGGACTTCAAGGAAAAGGAAGTTGCGGAAACGTTCCATTTTTCTGTTAAAGAGATTTCCATGAAATATGGAAAACTAAGAATGTTTTACAAAGCAAAGTTGTGACACAAAAAAGAAACGCGGGAAAAACCTAAAAGTGAAAAGCATTTTTATCAACCTTTTTGTTAAACTTTTTTCCTTTTCCAGAAAACCCATCGACGATCAATGAAAATCTGGAACATGGCATACCAACCGTTAAGTTGCCGCCTTTAGTTTTTCCTGCTTTTACGAAATGCAGAATGCGGTTGAATTTTCCGCCTCGATGTGATCTTCGTGTGCTGTTGGTAAATATTTAATGGCCTCGACCGGAAGCGGAAACGCTTGGGTTGGGGGAGAGGAGGGGTAAAGTGAGTGAGAAAAGCGGATGTGGAAAGGGAAACGCCACTTTGCGGTCAACAGCAGGCCACGCCCTCTCGTTCACCTGTGGTGATGGTGATGCTTCCTCCCTTCCCTCCTCCTCTCCTCCTACTCTCTCTCTTTCTATCTTTCTCTGACTCGTTGTGTATGCCATCCTTGTTCAACTCCCAGTGGGTGCGGTACACGTTTCATTCAATTTATTTGCCATTTCCCATTTTCAATTCGTTTCGGGCCGCCAATTACACAACATGGCCCTGGCAATGGGAATGCGCCTGGTGTCCGCCTGGTTGTCCGCCTGTTGTCCTCTTTCTCCTCTAACCCTCCTTCTCCTTCCCCTTTACAAAGCCCTTCTCTACACATGTCCCCCACATTTCTCTGGCCATTTGCTTAAAGCCTTTTCACGCAAACTATGTTGCTCGTGTTGCCATTGACGTTGCTGTGCTACTGTTTAGTGGCAGTTGCTACTGCTACTGCTGTGATGTTGCTCTGCCATTTCAAAGGATGAAAACAATAGTGCAAACTATCATCATTGGTAGAAAAGGGCACAAGATGGGGCGGCAGGACAGTAGGACAGAAGGACAGCTGTAGCTGGGCCCACATCATCATTAGCATATTGACATGTGGCCAAATTTGGTCACGTTCCATTTCATTTCAATTCATTCTGACATTGCCAACGGAGTTCGAATCAATTTCCCATCTCCAGCCAAGTTCGTGTATGTGTGTTTGTGTGTTTGTGTGTGTGTGTGTGTGTGTGTGTGTGTGTGTGTTTGTGTGTGTGTGTGTGTGTGTGTGAGCAATAAACTACTACTGATAACTCAAGAACCGCACTTGCTTTACAATCGAGATGAAAATGAAAACGAATTGCAGGAGCAGCAGAAGCAGCAGCAGCAGCAGCAGGCAAAAAGCTTACGAAACTAATTGCAGCTGGTTTATGCACTGAACAAAAAGCAAAGGTCATTAAAACCAAATAAAAAATCAAGAAAATCAAAAGTAAAAATTAAAAAAAAGTCCTTTTAAAATAAACTTCTTATATAATCTAATATAATATTAAAAAATATAACAAAAATCTCTTCCAAAAATCAACCCCATTTCTCTCTCTAAACATACCAGCCCTCTCCTCCTCCTACTACCCATCCCCCTCCACTACTAACACCACCCACGAATCAACAACATCACAAACAGGAAGAATCAGTAGTCAGCGGAAGTGAAGGGTACGCATCAAGGGGGAGGGAGGGAGGTGGCCTGGTGCTGGTGCATTGGTTTTTTGCAATGGGTGAGAGGGCAAGGCAAGGCAAGGCAAGGCAAGGCAGGAGTTGCATTTATTGGCTGAGCCGGGAATCTAATGCCAGTGTGCCTTTGACAGGCTTTTGTTGCCACACCCAGTGCGCGCTGTCGATAAAGGAAAAAGTTGAATGTCTTCAATAAGTTTTCCTCAGATGCAGTTGTTCTTCTTCTTCTTTGTTTAACCCCTTGCGCTTCCTGCCAAGTATGTGTCTATTTTTTCATTTTGATTGTCTTGAGCAGCAACTTTTCCTGCTGCTCTATTATAGAATGCGAATGCAAGTGAAGTGGGTAACCGGAAATGGCGCTTCACCATCCCTTAATCATCACCCGGAAAATGGGTAGCATTCCTTCTGCCGAAATTCCCCCACCTCCCCCCTCTGAGCTGGAGGAGCCACCAGCTTTTGGCACGAAATAATATTTGCATAATAGCAAACAGAACCGACTGCAGCTTCTTCTGGTACTTGGCCAAAAGATGACAAATGACATTAAGGAGGCTTAGCGCCTGCGTTTTTCCCCCCGCTTTTCCCTCTTTGCATATCACACTGGGGAGGGAGCTGAGGGGATTCTCCCTCCGCCCCATCAACATCCTCATCATCGCATGGGGAATTTGACTTTTAAAACGAATGCCAGCACCCCGTCCCTGGTTGCTTCCTTTTTCCTTTTCGTTTTTGCCAACGCATACTTGTGCATCCGGCGACCTCGTCCTTTACCCCTCCCCCTTTCGGCAGACACACAAAGCTCTCTCTTTACCTCCTCTCCCTTCCCCTTCTTTGCCTGATGCGCCACTGCAATTATTTTTTTTCCCCGAACGTGCAGCGCCCTTTGATCCTCTTTGGCCATATATTTGCTAACGACAATGACAACGATGTCTAGCTAAGATTCAGGTGTATATATCTATAAGGATATATATATATATATATATATGTTAGGTGACTACACCTAGACCCCTTTTTTGAGGGGGATCAAGCAACTCGCCCCCTCCCCTTTTTTTGTTTTATGACCACGCCCGCCACTTGGGCCAAGTGCAACTGCAACTGCAGCCAACTTTTTGCACGCCGCTCGCTTCGCCACTTGAAACTTCTCAATGGCACTCCGGCAATGGCTGTCTCCAGAGTTTTCCAACCCATCACAGCCTCTTGCCTCCTCACCCTACCTCACCCTCCCCCAATCACCACCACCCCCCCACCAATCTGAAGTAAAAGTCATTCCTAATCCCGCAGTTGCATATTTTTACTGCTAAGCACGTCGATGGCTGCCAAATTAGAGAACAAAATGGTGGCATTAAAAAGGGGAAAACGAGTGGAAATCAGTAGGGAAAATATATATAGGAAAGGTGAATGAAATCTATATATAAGAGAAAGAGAGATAGAGACAGAGTGAGAGAGACAGAGAGAGAGAAAGGAGTTACAGCAGAGAAGAGGTCGTAAGGCGGGAAATTCATTCACTGATTCGATTGATATTGATTTAACGTCAGGTGTTTGAGGGCAAAGAATGTCGCTAAAATAGAACTTGACAGATGCAATGAATATTTTCCCATCATTGCAATTGTTTCCATCGAAAATAAATGAGGGAATACGAATAGAAGCTGACAAGAATCTCATTTGACATTAGAGATTGGATTTTAATTATTAAGTTAAGATAATCGCTGGCTTCTTAAGATCTTTTTTTCTATAATTACTTTCCCACTGAAAGGACAGCTCTTCAAGGCTTTTCCAAGTGGAATTTCCATCTTTCGCCTTTAGAAATTTATTTCCCCACTGAAAGACAACAGCTCTTTAAAGCTCTCTTCTAAGTGGAATTTCCATCTTTCGCCTTTCGAATGATCTACCATCTAGCATTGGGGTCTAAAATTTATTTCCCGACTGAAAGAACAGCTCTTTAAGGCCCTTCTAAGTGGAACTTCCATCTTTCTCCTTCAAACTGATCTACCATCCAGCATTGGGGTCTAAAATTTACTTCCCCATTGAAAGGAAAGCTCTTTTAGAGGAGTTTCCTTCTTTCTCCTTCAGACTGAAACAGCATTGGGGTCTAAAACTCACTTCCTGACTTAAAGAACATCTCTTTAAGGCTCTCATCTAAGTGGAACTTCCATCTTTCGCCTTCAAACTAATCTACCATCCAGCATTGGGGTCTAAAATTTTCAATTCACATTCCGTGAGATTCGAATCATCATTGGCCATTGGCCATTTGGGATGCTCGTTATCAAAATGTCAGCTAGTTTTATTGCCATTGCTATTGCTATTGCCATGGCTGTTGGTATTTGGTGTTGCTGTCATTGTCAACGCTCAACGTGAGTGCCATGAAAGATTGCGCTGCATCTTTGGCACGTTTGTTGCAAAAACCTGTCCAGGTTGCCGTGCAATTTTCCAATTTCTAACTCGACTAACTTGACTTGAGGCAGGGAAAATGCCAGGCAAGGCAACAGCACAGCAGAGGAAAAACAGGAAGAAAAAAAGAAAAAAACACCAACAAAAATAGAGAAGGCAAACGAAGACGCTGACGGAGTGGATGCAACACGAAGAAATATGGCAGGAAAATTGCAAAACAGCAGGGAAAACAAAATCAAAAAGCACTCACATATTTTCCAATTTGGCGAAGGGGCAAAGCAGCAAAGCGACGACCTCTTCTCCTTGCTGAGGATGATGTTGCTCCTGTGATGTTGCTGCTGCTGTTGCTGTTGCTGCTTCTGCTGTTGCTCCTGTGCGGTTCATATTGCTGTTAGTCCTGAAGTTGGAGTGGCCATTTTTCATTTGCCACTGGCCGGCCAGTGGGGTTTTCCTGCTACGGATGTTGTTGCGTGGTCATTACCAAAAACCAAAAAAAACCAAAAGCAGCGGCAACAGTTGCACGAAGACAGCACAGCACTAAAAGGAAGACAAAAAAGAAGGAAAATTATTTTAATCAATCACCAAAAAGCAGCTGGAAAAGTCAAGCAAGTATGGCTCTAATATTTCATAATTAAATTTTTTACATTTTTAAACTTAAATTAGCAATAAGAAAAACTTAATATAATGCCTTATCCTATAAAGCAGATCATAAATTAAAGACTAAACCAGATTTTAGCTTGAAATTAATGCAACATTTCCTATGCTGCCCCATCAACCATCTTGACCATTCATCATCGTAGATGGCCATCCAGGCTGGAACGGCAACGGAATGAGGACAAAATTTAGAATTATTTTACATGCCCCGAAGCTGCAATGCCCTACCAGGCAAGGAGTCGTCAACAAATCAATCAAACTGTCCGAAATGAACAGCACAAACTTCTGCAGCTTCTTTCTGTCACCTGAATTCATGGGATACACAGGGCTAGGGCCAGGGCCAGGGCCAGGATAGCACTAGCCAGGGACAGAAACAGATACTTTTCCCAGGAGTGAAAACAAAGGCGATATGCCCAGAGAAGAACCAAAAAAAAAAAAAAAAAGGAAACTTATGGCCCAAAAATTAAAGGCTAAGGGCAAAATGACAGCTGGCCACTCGAAAGGGAAACAGCTGCAGGGCAGACCAAAATTTTTGGAACTCGAAACTCGAACAGTTCACCAATCCCAGTGGGAAGTATGTTCTTCCATCCACCCCCCCTTCCTCAACAAACCCAGAAAATAAGAGAACAGTCCTGTTTGCTGTCATCGGCAGGACATCTCCAACGTTTTGGTCAGCTCTGGGAGCTGGGATCTGGGATCTGTATCCTCCTCCTCCTCCTCATCATCCAACCATCATCATCATGGGTCTGCCAGCAAGCATCCTGGAAAACAGCCTGCGAGTGCAATTAATCTTGCGAGAAGCAACAAATGAACAATGCACAGAAAATAATAATATTTATTAATAGTTTTTAAAGTTATTTTGTTAGTTTAAGGCAACAACTATGACTGGCTAAGTGGTTAACTTTTTCGATAGATGGATTAAGGTAAATATTTAGCTGAGTTAGTAGCTTGAAATCGAAAGAGAAAAACTAGTTTTCCATGTGTTCTTTTTGGTTCTACCAAATCCAAAGGCCATCCATCTACTTAGTATTCAGATTTCAAATTAGAACTATCTTTCTCTTTCCCTTTCTCTCTGTTGCAACGCCTGCAAACTCCTAAAGCTCCGCTCTGGAGAAATACAAAAAATAGCAAAAGAAAATCTTATCATTTTGCCACCCGGAAATAAAAACTAGATGCAAGGACCAAGGGGCGAACTTTTCTATGCTAAAATAACCACAGTTGGATTTCATATAGAAAAGGTTCAACACCCAGACTCAGTTACAGTCACACCCACACCCGCACACCCGCACACCCTCCCTACACACACCTTCACACCCCCCTTCCTACACACACACAATTGCAATCAAATGACCAAGTCCCAGGACCTGCCCCTCGACATATGTCCATCATGTAAATTCATGCATATGCATGACCAGTTTTTCATCCTATCTCTGGATATGCCACCCCCCTACTACACCACCTTCACCATACACCAACACGCCCATTCAGCCTTCAATTCAAGGCCGCTGGCATTACGGTAATTGCAAGGATTTGTCACACGACAACACAACACAAACAACAACAACAATAGAAGCAGCAGGAACCAGCAGGAGCAGCTCAAAAACATTCTATGAAAAAAAAAAGCAAGATCAGGGACATGGCAGAGGAGAGAGAGGGGATTGAGGGGATTGCCAAGGACCACAGGCAAATGCAAATATTTGTTTAATCAATTCTATGTGTGTGTGTGTGTGTGTGTGCAGGCAGACAGTGCGTTTCATAATAAGGTGACTGATTTTTTTGGTAGAATATTTTTGATTTTTGAAAATGAAAACTTAAAAACTTTATAACAACACCCCTCCCCCTACCCCATCAAACTGCAAACTGCCCCAATGCCTGCGGCCAATTTGCATGGACGGCGCCGCGATGGGGGATAACGATCTGGTTTTTTGGTAGGATTACATTTCTCTCTCTTCTTCTTTTTTTTTTCTTGTATCGTTTTTTTTATTTTTATTTTTTTCTTTCCGATTTTTTTTTGTTGTATTTATTTGTGTGTGGGAAAGAATTTTGCGGTGCAATTGTGAAATGCCAGCAAATTGGATTTACCAAAGCCAAAAACGAAAAAAAGAAACCTCGAAAAAAGTATAGAGAAAAGGAAAGGAAGGATAAATATATATATAATATATAACATATATAACATATGTATTTAATTTGAATTTCATTTGCATTTTCAATGCATTCTCGAAATTGAAATTGAGACCAAGGAATTGCGGCAGCTTCAAGGGGTTAAGGTGTATTCATTTTCAGGGAATTTTCATAGAATTTTCTTTCATTTTTTTTTCTTTCTTTAATTCAAAGAGAAAATTCTATAATTTAGCAACTTATTGTTAACTAATTAGGCAAATAAAATGGCAATTTAATCGAAATTCAATTTGATTTCAGCCAACACTCAATTCGATTTTTGCCACAATTTCGCTCAATGACTTGCCACACATTTTTGTGTGCCAATTAGGCCATTTCCCATCAACGATATAAAGTCATTGAATTAAAGTGCAAAGTGGGTGTGTGTGTAGGTGTGTGAGTGCATGTGTGTGTGTGTGTTTGGAATATTCAAGAGTATTGGCAATACTGTCATTTCCCTCCTCCACCACCACCCCCTTTTTTTTTCAGTGGTTATCTAACAAAACATCTTGCATCTATTTCCCAGGCTTACACACACACACAGAAACACAAAGGGAAAAGCGTTGGCAGCGGGGCGGCGGGGCAAGGAAGGGCGTGAATTTTCATCGAGTGGCCGGAGAGAGCAGGCAGAGCGGACGTATGGCAGTTGCTTTATGGCAATCACCAAGGCAACTCCGGATGCCAGGATGCCAGGATGCCAGGATGGCACCTGCACCAGCACCTTTTCCACAACCTATGGGTCCTGTCGTCGGGCTTAAATTATGCGACAACACGGAATCAGCAGGAGCAGTAGTAGTACTAGCAACAGCAACAACAGCAACAGCAACAGCAACAGCAACAGCAACAGCAACAGCAACATCCATTGCAATTGCAACTAGCGATAACGGAGAGGAGCATTCAAACGGATTGTAGGTGTCAATGCCCATCGGGCTAAGGGGTGTCAAAAAAAGGGGGCGGGAATAGGAAGATGGTTTAGCAACTGGTTGCCAGGATAACAGCCACACGCCCCCCAACGCCAAAGCACTGAAAGAAAATGAATCAACTAAAGTTTATAAGAACTTTCAATTCCTTAGAAGACAAATCTTGACTTGGAAGTTAAGCCAAAAAATGGAACCTAGAAATTGCCTTTTCTTTAAATACTTAAAAAAAAGGAACTTCATAACGTTAGATTCTAAGAATTGAACATAAATATTTATATATATATAGCCACTGAATCACTTGCAATAATATTTCAAGAAACCTCTTCAAATCAATAGAATTCCCCTTTTACTTTCAACTTTCTACCTTTTACCGCAATGCCTTGTTTTCTCAGTGCCCGTTTTTCTTTGTGTTTTTTTTTCTAGTTCCCACTCTTGAATCCTGAATCCCGAATCCTGATTCCTGAATCGTGAATCGTGAAACCAGAATAGAGAATCTAGAATCCAGAATCCGGACTGTGCGTGGATCGGGCAATGGAGATGTAGATGTTGATGTAGGCCACGTCCGTACAATAGACGATGCCCCTGATTCCTCCACCTCCGGTATCCATTTCTATAACCCCGCGTCATGAGCGGGTTTATATTTTTTTTCTTCTGTTGTTGTTGTTGTTGTATTTGTTGTTGTTTTTATTGTTGTTTTTGCCATGGCTACGACTCCCTGTTGCCATCATCCTGGGCTCTATTCTGGTCTTGTTGTTCAACAAAATGTCAGCCTCGGCGAATTTTGCAATTTGAAAGCCACACAAATCACAAAAACAACAACAACAACAACTATGAAAATACACAGGAGAACAACAAGGGATTTGCAATAGCCGATGGTTTAAATACCCTTTTTAGGAACCATGAAGAAGAGTGGTTATGGAAAATGAGAAGACTTTGGTAAGGAATTTTTGTAATTGATAAAACGAAGAGTTGGAAAATGTAGTCAGGAAAGGAAATCTAAGCTAAGCTTTGGCTCTTAGATAAACTTAAGATTGACTTGATGATTAAGGAATTACATTTATCCTATCAATCACTGAATCTTTTAAGACTTTCTTACCTGTAAAACTCAATCTCACTGACTTACTGATCACCATACCCATATGAAAGCAATCCCAAAACCAAACTGCAGTGTCATAAAGCAATGAAAATCAAAATCAAAATCCCTTCATCGAAAGCTCTGATTGTTTCCCCCAAAAAATACGCAACCCATACTCAGATTACAGGGTATGCTAGAAAAACAAGCAGCTGGCATGCAAATGTTTCAATTTTTTTTATGCTAGCAAAGAAAACAGAAACAGTAACAGGAAAGTGGCAGAGTGCAGAAATATGCAGACCGAAGTTTTAGCCAAAAGCTCAAACTGAAACTGAAACTGAAACTGAAGTTGAAGTTGGAAGCCAGAAGCCAGAAGCCAGAAACTGGATTTTGAGTGAGAGGTTGAGTGGGTTTGTCCAGGAGAACGGGGATGCCCATGTCCTCTCCCCTTTTGGCTAGTCCATCTGTGTCCAAGTCTGCTTAAAAGGCGTGAAATCTTCTTCAGCTTCCTTCCCCCCCTGTTGGTCAACACCAGCCAGCTGCAGTTTTCTCTGTTTTGTATTTATGATGTGGAGTCCCTCTGCATAGCAAAGGCTTTACTTAGAAAAAAGAAAATAAGAGAAAAGTCTCATTGTTAAGGGGCAGGCAGTCTATTAAAGGATGGCGTCCATCTGTTCCTGAAACTCCTTCAGCCAAGCTGGGCTAAGCAGAGGAGGAGTCCTTTCCTTCTCTCC